ATAAGGAAAAGTAGATTATCCAATACTGAACCTTGTGGTACTCCACATACAATACTTTTGTGACTAGAAGCTGTATCATTTGCTCTACCTAGTTATTTCCTAAACTGAAACCAATTCAAATAAATACCATAGAAATTTTGTTTTTTTTTATCAAAATGTCATGATTTATAAAATTAAAGGCTTTGACATAGTCACAGAAAACAGTGGCAGTGAAAAGATTATTGTGTAGTGCTTGATAGACGTCATTTGGTACATACATAGCATCACTGGTACATTTATTACATAAAAACCCCATCTGACTTTTGTGATTTTTTACAAATCATTAAATATTAATATATGTTAAACTAAAAGAGCACATAATACACACTATATAAGCATGAATATAAATTAATGACTGGTATTGAGATGACCAATTATGGGGATAAATAGGATACTATGGAACAGATATATTTTTTATGTGTGCAACTAATGATCAGTAAAAATATGATACCAAGATCTCTAATTTCATTCATTTTAGTTGCTTTAGTAGGTACTTGAATGTATTTATTTATTTATTTATTCATGTACCATTTACAGTTAGCATATTAACTAGCAGATAAAATTTCTACAGTTAGCATATTAACATGGTAAACAAATAAACTACTCAAAGGCCGTTTGGAAATACCTAAAAAAATACAAATTTCAATGTCAAAAAATAATTGAGATTTATTCTAGGAAAAAAATGTATATCAATAATGGGAACAGTCACCTGTGGCTGAAACATCTGTGAAGATTGTGCATCTCTACTTGTTGAAGGACTCTCAACTAAAACAAAAAATTAATTTAATAATTTATACCATGATTCACTTCAGGTAAAATAATGTTTGTTAATTACATATTAGGGTTACTTACTTTCTGTTACATTTGCTTCCCCACTCAACATTGAAATGTTTCTGGGATGTACATTAGAAGAAGAATCTAAAATACATCATCAATCAGTTATTTGTTCTCTAATATCAAATATTTATTGGACTCACCATACAAATGTAAGCTAGGAATTGCATTTTTATACAATTTATGACTCCATGAAGAAACAAACTTATCTTCAAAGTGTCTGTGGCAGATTCGTTTTGTTTTAAAAACTGTACTAGCATTCATCATATCTAAGTTAGGATTATTTATAACACTGAGCCACTTCCTAAATCGTGTAATGTCTTTATCAGGATTTAGAAAGGCATGTCTAATTAATGAAGAATTGGTACATTGTAGGATACAACATTTATTGTGAAAAACCATATTTAACTAATTATTATTAATCTGCAAAATACTGTTTGAACACCGCCAGGAACATTTAAAACACAGATCACTGAGGTAGGTGATTTGTAATTTACAAACTAACAAAATCAAAATATAGACGCTAATATGACAATTGGCGATTGATAATTATAATTCTTAGTTGTGTTCTAAACCTAAACTGCAGAGTTAAGGTAAAGACAGAGTAAAGCGACATCTGAAGATTTGTATCTTTACTACAAATGAGATTAAGTTTAGTTTGACCTTGAGCTACCTACGTGAAATGTCTAGTTATTAGTGGTCTGTGAAGCATACCCTGTCATTAACCTAACATGTGACAGTTTTGATAAAGAAAACATTTAATAAGAAAACAATAATCTAAAGAAGAACAATTTGAAAGATAACATAAAGATACTACCAGAAGAAAAATCAAGCCCTTTATGAAACTTCAATCAAACCTTTATATAACTAAGTAAGTTTTTATAAAATAACTTTAAAACCAATTTATTGTCTATTCTATTTCTAGTTATATCGACCACATAAGGAAAATAAACAAAGGAAATATTAAACCTGTAACAAACAATTCACTTAACCCATTTAGTTCCACTGTACTCGTCTAAATACAGCAGCAAAAATGGTCAGTAGTGTCAGTATAGTCAATAGTGACACATTTGGTAAAAAAGTGATACTCCACGTGTATGTCCGATTCTATTAAGAAGTGTTCTACTACTCTTGCTTTACCTTCAGATGACCTAGCGATTTCCACTCATAAAGATGTATCGGTGGTAGTTATTGCTCCTGAGACTGACTATTCAACTGACAATGAGGACATAGATGAAGATGATTTTCTGACTCAAAGCTTTCCGAATGACGTTCCCGGAGAAATAGAGGTTCATTACATGAGTGATGACAGTGATAACGACGAAGACAACAATCTTCCTCGTGTCATTAGAAGAGAAAATTTACTAAAGGATCTTCATTAGAAGAGAAATTACTGATATTAGAATGACATCTACAATAGGTTACAAGGTTCATCTGGATAATATGAAAAAACAAATCCGAGGTAAATCTCCTAAGGAAATATTTGAGAAATTTTTTAACAATGAAATTATTAAATATATTACAAAGCAGACAAATTTATATGCCGCTCAAAATAATACTCATCAATTTCATGTAACGCAGGAAGAGATAAAAGTATTTCTGGCTATTTTACTTTTTACTGGATACCATAATTTGCCATGAGAGCGCAACTATTGGTGTTTAGATGAGGATCTCCAGTTAACCTCGTGACTAATGCAATTTAAAGGAACCGTTTCCAAGAAATTAAAAAATACCTACATTTGGCAGATAATTCGCAAATTGATACAAGGGACAGAATGTATAAAGTAAGGCCTCTCATGAACAAACTAAATAAAAAATTTCAACAATTTGTCATATTTCACAAATACTTATCAATTGATGAAGCGATGATAAAGTATTTTGGGCATCACTCATCTAAACAGTTCATAAGAGGAAAGCCAGTAAGATTTGGGGACAAGGACTGGATGCTTTGTAGCTCAACGTTCAACTGGTTATTGCTACAATTTTGACACATATTTTGAAGCATCAGTGGATAAATCAAAAGTTGCGGCGTTGCATTTAGAATTACAAGTTGTTCTAAAAATGCTTGCTGTCCTTGATGTGCCTACTGACCACTAAGTATTTTTTGACAATTATTTTACTTGTTACAATTTGATGGAAACTTTTCGAATTCTTTGAAACTTCATTTCGAATTTCGAATATCGCTTTGACAAAGCAAGTCTACTACTTTTTGTAAAACGGAAGGACAACAATGTGGTCACAATGGCATTATATTTCGATTGTATTAAACTATTTTCAAAAGTGACTCGTTGGTGTGCTGCTGCCAAACGAAAAATTGATGTACCCCAAACCAAGACTTTTCTTATCATACAATACTTCAATGGGTGGTGTTGATCTCTTTGACCAATCGGTTAATAACTACCGAGTCAGTATACAAGGTAAAAAATGGTGGTGGCCCATTTTTACCCACATGTTCAATTCAGCTCTTGTCATCTCGTGGGGGTTACAAATATTTGCCGAAAATGGATCTTTTGGCTATTCAACGAGATGTAGTACTACATTGTTTAAAAAGTTTTGAGAAATCTTCATATTCTAGAAAACTATCAGGAGAATCTGTACCAATTAGTCTAAAAATGGATGGAAGCGGTCATTTTTCAAAGAAAATAGACAAACATCTTCTATGTCGCTTATGGCATCAAAGAGTACGTTGGATTTGTATAAAATGTAAAGTTACTCTGTGTATTGAACGGGATTGTTTTTTACAATTTCATACTAGTTAGATTATAATACAGGATATACCCAAGTATGTACCTATATTGTAAGAAAATATAATATTTTTATTTTTACTTAATGTTTTATATTTTTGACTCCCGATCAGCCCATTGTACTCGTATATGCACACCTACTTTTTGCTAAAAATTTAATTTTTTATGTCAAATAACAATGAATTGTTATTTGACATTATTATAATATATTATAAATATATAAGACATTAAAAAAAATCTTGTATTATCGAAAAAAATGCCGTGGGATCAAATGGGTTAGTTGCCGTTTAACAGGTAATTATCGCAAAGGGCAAGCTTTACAACCCTGTGTGGGTCCTAGCCTCCCCAAGAATTTTTCTCCAGTCATCCCTATCCATCGCCTTCCTCCGCCTACGCTTCGATATATCAAGCTATAAATTGGCTATTCTTTTGTTTAGGTATCTAATATAATTTTTCTACTCTCTTACTATAAAGTAAATTGTATATGACCTACTATTTGGATGCTAAGTAAATACATCATAACAGATACTGACACGTAATGACTAGCAGGTAATAAAAAAAATTACGCTTCAGTTTTATAAAAATGTGTAATATCACATAAGCCTCGTAAGTCAGTTGGTCGAGTTACCATGGAAACGAATTAACAGACGTTATTTTGACAGATTAAAAATTATTAATCTGTCAGTGTAAATATAGTGGTAATTTAATTTTTATTTTAATAAACGAAAATAATCGTAGAAAAAGTATAATAGTACACAACTTGAGTTGTAAGCTTATTACATGCTTGTAAAATTACTGCGCTCGCCGCTACGCGGCTCGCGCGCAACTTTTTTACTCGCATGTAATAAGCTTCTTACAACTCTCGTTTTGTAATATACTATTTTCTACTCTCTTACTAGTAAATTGTATATTACCTACTATTTGTATGCTAAGTAAATGCATCATAACAGATAGTGACACGTAATGACTAGTACGTAATAAAAAAATTACGCTTCAGTTTTATAAAAAATGTGTAATATCACATAAGCCTCGTAAGTCAGTTGGTCGAGTTACCATAGAAACGAATTAACAGACGTTATTTTGACAGATTAAAAATTATTAATCTGTCAGTGTAAATAAAGTGGTAATTTAATTTTTATTTTTATAAGCGAAAATAATCGTAGAAAAAGTATAGTACACAACTTGAGTTGTAAGCTTATTACATGCTTGTAAAATTACTGCGCTCGCCGCTACACGGCTCGCGCGCAACGTTTTTACTCGCATGTAATACGCTTCTTACAACTCTCGTTATGTAATATACTAATATTTAATATAGTAATATATTAATAATAGGTACTCTAGCTTTAGACCTACATAGCCTTCAGAGTTTTAAAAATAAATAAATAAAGTTGTTTATTTAGTTTATTATGAAAAAATAAATTTTATTTAAAATTTTATAATCTGATTCAATATATTTAAACACTAATGTAGGAGTAATTAATTTACAAGAGATTTGTTAAGCTGGATCAGTACTTCCTTAATAATAACCTCAGTTGCATCTTGATTGATTATTTTTTGTAGAAGTTTGTTAATTTCGTCTACTACGTTATTCGCTATTAATTTTATTATTGCCTCAATTATACCTGTAGCAATGGATGTAGAATTGTAGTTATGAATTCAGATAACAAATTGGCTATAATATCTGTAATATTTCCATGGAATTGAACAGAGATGTGGCTAAAAGAAGAAACAGTATATTAATATATTATAATTGATCAAAGTAATAAATCCATACCATTTAATAATTTTATTGCCTTACATAAATATGTATAATTTAGGAATAATATATTGGTTCATATGGTTCTTCTTGTATAGATCAGTTTCTGTAGACAACATTTTTAGTAATTTATAAAACCGAATCGAATAAATATAATTGGGTATTTCTTTGCAGAGTTTCTTTACTTGCAGGTTTTCCTGAAATTGCTAAACAAAGTGCTTGAACAACAGCAGTCTTCAACAATGTTGAAAGAAGCTAAGGTTGTTCTTATTTCGAAAGGTAGAGGTAAAGAGGAAGAGGTGCGATTTCGGCCAATTTGCCTTCTTAGTTCGATCGCTAAATTGCACGAACAACTTGTAAAAGGCTGCCTTGAGCGAGAGCTAGAAGAAAACCATGCGCTGAGCGACCGCCAATATGGTTTTAGAGCCAAAAGGTCCACCATAGATGCGGTCACAGTAGTAACCTCTTTAGTTACGCAGGATACAAAAAGATGGGTGACTCTCATCCTGCTTGACGTCAAGAATGCCTTTAATGCCAAAAGACTTCGCAAAAGCGGATGCTCCTCAGGATATCTAGCACATATAGGACTGTTTCAAATGAGGCTCTATATGTCATTGGAGCGGTGATACCGATCGTTTTGTTATGCAAAGAACGAGCGAGGGTGTATGTGAGGAGAATGGATTTAAATATATATGAGAATGAGAGAAAGATCGATAGTAAAGTGGCAGAGAGAATAGGCGAATGATAGCGGAAAGGCAAGGTGGACGAAGAAGCTTATTCCAGATATGAGACAGTGGTAGGAACGTAAGTTCAGGAAACTAGACTACTTCCTGACGCAGTTTCTGACCCGATGTGGTAGTTTAAGCACCTTCACAATTACAATAGGCAAATCTACCTCGGTAGACTTTACTGTTTGTGGGATACCGGACGTTACCGCCTACATTTTCAACTGCCAGAGATGGGCAAATAAGAGGGGCGATTTCGAGAGGCAAATGGGTTTCGGACTGAATGAAAGAAACATTGTAAACATAATGTTGAGAGGAGAGAAATAATGGAGATAAGTACACTGTCTGATTTCTGGGGTGATGAAGGATGACAGAGCAGAAAATTGAGTCAGGGATCTGAAATTTATGGTTAATATTATTTATTAGTTTATGGTCTAATGTCTAAAACACTTTCTGATTTACGGTAATAGGTATGGTTATTTATAAATTTTTAGTTTTTTACTTTAGTTGTTCATTGAGTGGCAAGACCACTTCTCTGGAACAGTGGTTAAGGTTTTAGTAGGAACACGGTTAATTCGACACTACCCTGGGGTCTTAGTATCGACACTACCCTAGTATCCTACTCGGCCGAAAGATGCCAGAGTGCCTTGTTCACGCCTTGTTGTGGACTTGTGCCTTGTTGTGGACGTAGACGTCCAAAAAAGATTTCCCCCATCGTTACCTGTCAGAACTCAAAGGATACCTTCTTAGGGTCTTACGGGAATCTGGCAATAAGGCAATTAAAAAAAATTTGCGTAGAACTTCTATAGGGAATATTATTTTAAAATATATTTTTTTCAGTAGTAATGAGTTTATTTGTGAGTAAAGTGAATATGTAGTTAATTATTTGTAGTGTACATTAATATATTCATTTTTTAAGAGTAGTTGGACAATATTTATATCATCTTTAAATGCAAAACTTCCCTAACAAATAATTATGTATCACTATAAAATACACCAGGTGCAAATGCTTTACAGGCTAAAATTAACAGGTACAATTATGTGTGTTGACAGATTCCAATTTATAGTTTAATTAAAGAGAGGAAAAGTGGGTCTCTTAAATTCTCTAATTTTTTTTTAATGAGGACGACAAATTCCAACTAGCGAGTCTTTAGAACAAAGACGCAAAGAACATGTTTTTTATCAGCACCTATAGTACCTAGATTCCAATGCTTTTTAAAACTGTAAAACAATTTTATGAGAATGGTCTTTAGAATGACAATTTGAAAACTTGAAAAAGTGTGATTCCAGTATAAAGAAACAAAAAAAAAGAAAATATCTTTTAATTAACAAACGCACAATGGCATTTTTAAGAAGAAACTATTTAGGATTGGTGATCACGTTTTTATCTCGTCTAGGCTCTGTTGACTCTTTAAAGATAGGGTTTGTTAAGGGAAACTTCAATCTGTGCACGTTGCCGCTTTTCCCGGGCTTTTGTGGTAGCTACAAAGCAGTTATGCCAGGAGGATTTCCATGCCAGGAGATTTCCATAGGATTTCCTATCTTTGTGGATACCGGTTGAACCAAGTCTGCTACTAAGTACAAGTTTTATGGTAAAACGGTCCTTTTCAGATTGTTGGCCTTTTGTTTTTTTTTGTGTAAACTCGTGGAAGATAGCTGTGGCTGTGTTCTCACCAAGGATCAAATATTGTTGTGCAATGAGAATGGGAAACCACAAAAAACCAATCTCTTTTTTCCTTGTGATGTAAATTCTTCTTCTTCAAGTGCCCTGTCCGTTGCGAACATTGGCTAATAACATGGCAATTCTGATCTTGTTTGCGGCGCTTCTAAATAGTTTGACCGATGTAAGCCCGAACCACTTCCGCAGATTTTCCGCACTTTGTCTTCTTGAAGTTGAGGCTCAGGCCGTATTCCTCACTAACTGAATAAACTCTTTCTATTACCTGTTTTAATTCGTCTATGGTACTGGCAAGGATCACCGTGTCGTGATGTGAATGTGATGTGAATAGCGACCCTTAAGGAGTGTGTGGGGTGCTCACTGTTATGTGTTTGGTGTGTGTGGGTGTTGTATAGTTATTGGTTTATGTTGTCGGTTGTGTGTGTTTATGTGTGTGTTTGTGTGTGTATGTGTGTGTGGGTGTGCGTGTGTGTGGGAAAATAATAAATGTATGTATGAATGATGAGTGTAGAGAGTTTTGTATTTATGTGCGAAGTTGTGTGAAGGTTTGGTTTACGGAATCGTTATAGCAGGAGGTAGATATGACATATCCATACATTGAATTGGATATTTGATATGAAAACATTGAATAAAATCATGGATGTGAAGTGGATTAAGGATTTCATCTCCGAGGACAGGTCATATGAGGGGAATTGCTTGGGAGTGTGTTCGGGTTATGTTTGTTGAGTATGTTGAATTTTTCTCTGTGGGCATTGTGTAGACCTGTGTTGTTGTCTGCAATAGATTTTTCAAGGCATTCGCTGCAAAGATGATTTTTGTGTACGCAATTACTCGGTAAAAGGTTTTTCGATGATTCCGAGCGCTTGTGGGTTAGTTGGGCCTTTAGATTTGGATTTGATCCTTAGATTTATGGAGATATTGTTGTCTCTTGTAATTTGACATAGTTTTGCCGTGAGGTTTTGAGGTCTGGATAATTGGTAGGTCGTATAGAAGCTGTCTTTGAGCGGAAAATACTTTAATTGAGTCGTGTATGTTACGCCGTGTACCGTGTACGTTGACCGTTACGCGGCCCGTTTCCGATTTGGATGCAGGTTTCCGATTTGGACCGTTGCTTAGTCTTCTCTTAAGCACCGATTTTCTCGAACTAGATCTGCTTTTCCGGTGTAACCGTTCACTTTGCGAGGTAACGCGAAGCTGACTATTCAGGATATATTGGTAGTCAAGCGGCAGAAGAGAATGGACAAATACATTACCTACACAAAACTTAAAATGCGGTAATGCGGGATACACTTTTTCTAAATAGTGACAAAGTAGAATGATAACTTTTGTTTTTATTCAAATCAGTTGTACTTCAAAATAGAAGGGGAAGTTCTATAATAAGCTATGATACAATTATCTTGGCATCCCTACATCTTGAGACAGATGGGAGAGAATACGACGTATCGAACGAAATAAAATGTTTAAACTATCACCCTAAGCTTAATAGCAATTTAATTTTTAGCATTCGAATAGTGAACAGGACTAAAAATCACACTCATTGTGAGAATTTTTCTGAAATAAAAAATAATGTCAGTCTTGTGTGTACATTGTGGAAATGTGTGTGTGTGTGTTACATCTTTGGTAAATGTCGTCAATAAATGTACTACTTCCATAAATTTTTGCCTTAAGTAAGACATCAACTGAGTAAAGAAAAAAAAAAGAAATAGTTCAAGACATTCCTTTAAGTCATAGCATTAGGTTCTTCAGTAAATGACTAGAAATATATAATATATACACAATAGACCAAGATTATTCCAAAATATATAGAAAAAGATCACTTAGCTCAGAAAAATATTGTGGTAAAATGGGAGGATCACCAATTGGGTAAAAATGTAATACTTCATCAAGGTCAAACCATATTTAAAAAGCATTAACCAATCATTCAAAATAGAAGCAGATTTTGTGAAAAAACACTATACTTACCCACTGTCAGTTGTCTTCAGTTGTTTAATTGATACAACGAATTTCTCGAGGTCTAAAGCAAATTGAAGGTAAAACTTAAATTCCTGGATTTCGCCATCCATGCTGCCGCTTGGACCAAGTCCGAGTATTCTTACATCGTAATCATAGGTAAACTAAAATCCATACAATAAATTGATAAAATATAAAAACAATGAATTATAAGTGACCAAAAAGAGTGTAATTTCTAATTGTTAAATTACGTAATGAATAATATATCATTATCTTATCTTTAAGTTTACCCCAAGTATTTACACACAATTCGTGCCCTATGTTAAGTCATTTGTGGTGTGGCTATCTGATGATTTAGTCGTGGTGTAGGTGTGCATAGTGTTCATGATGTAGCCGAAAAATTGGTGATTAATAACAATAATAACAATAATAAAATAACAAAACGAGAAACAATGCTCGGAACACTAGATCATTAGTCTCATGTCAATACCATCATCTTTGGCTCGACAATCCTCTGTGGATCTTGACCTGCTCTAAGATTCGTCGCCATTCTGTTCGGTTTTTGGCAACATGTTGCCATCTTGTGATTTTTAATATTCGTAAGTCGGTTTCTACTCCATCTAACCACCTAATTCGCGATCGGCCTTTGCTTCTTTTTCCTACAGGTGTTCCTCTGGTTAGATTTTTAGCAATGCAACGCAAAATTATATTATCTGCGCCACTGCCCTTGTTCGTTTACAGCTCCAAATATTTTGCGGAGTATTTTACGCTCAAATATTCCCAAAGTCTTTCATCTTTCTTCGTTAGAGTCCATGTTTCTGCTCCATATGTGAGAACCGGCCTCAGCAATGTTTTGTATATAATAATTTTAGTGTTTCTTTGAATGTTTCTTGAGTGGAAATGCTTTTGGAGTCCATAGTATGCCCTATTTGTAAGATTTATTCGTCTTTTGATTTCTTTGCTTATTTTATTTCCTTCGATTAGTCTCATGTGTCACAATGAATTCTTAAAAACCATTTATCGTATAATTTACAATAAATTAAAATACAATTTGGCTTTACAAACGGACTAGGAACCACAGAAGCAATATTTGTATGACTTAGCATAACTATGCTTGGACTAAACCAAGACAAATTTGTTTATTTTCTAGACTATAACAAAGCATTTGATACAGTACAATACAAGCGATTGGTGAAAAGAAAAGAGGTATTTAACACGACTGTGGGTTAGGGTGGCCCAAAAATTTCAAAATTGTAGAACATCCCTAGGCACCCTCTCATTTTTTTACTTTGCCTAATAGAAGTAAATCCCTAAAGTTTCAATGTCATAGGTGGAGTGGAAAGCAGTGCTCAAAGTCTTCAAAGTTTTGAAAATTTCGCAATTTCGTCGAATTTTCAAAAATTAATATCTTACAATATTTTTTTGTTTCAGATGCTGAAATTGTGAAAATTGTGCATTTAAAGACTTAAGTAATTGATATATATATATATATATATATTATATATATATATATATATAAATATATAAAAAACTGATAATATTTGTCTTAAAAGACTATTTTGTTACTAGTAGAAAATACGAGTCAAGTGCAAAAAGTGAACAGAAGAATGAACTGTGATTTGTGCATGTGCGTAGTCATGGCTTCGCCCTTCACTTCAACGCGTAAAGCAGACAATATTTTTTTAATTGGAATAAGAGAATTAGAACCCATATCTCAGTTGAACCAACTACCTTCTGTAAGGCAAGTTCTTCTCAGATTTCATTTTTCCTAAACGAGAAAAAATCCATAAGGAATGCTAGCCACTTAACCTTGGAAGAAGTGATGTCAGTATGGCAAAAGGCTGCGATTCCTACCAGATTAAAAAAACATTGTATTGAAAAAGTTGAGAAAATACACAATGAATGGCTTATGCTAAAGAAAAATAAAGGAAGAAACTCCGATGCCCAGAACAAAAGACAAAATCTGTTTGTAGAGCAGCTCGATCACCTTTTTGATATTGCTCACAGTGAAGCCCTCGTTATGTGTAAAGTAGATGAGGACAGACAGTTTCTAATAGATCAAAGAACTGACAGAAAAATGATCATAACATCAGAAGACAAGGAATATAAAAAAAAACAGGAGAGAATCCTTGAAAGAGAGTTAAAAGAACAAAAAAGACTTCAAAAAGCTCAAGAGGGAACCGCTTCGCCTCTGGTGACTCCGACTGCTTCCTGCCAAAGTTCAGAGGATGATTCATCAGATGAGTGTACTCCAGTAAAACACAGCTCATCAGAAGAAGAGCTGTATAAACCATCATCATCATCTTCGGCATCCCAAAGAAACAAAAGAGATTCACACACAGACTTGTCATCTCCACCAATCGCAAAATGAAGTTTGTTTTCCACACATGTTGTTAGTGCATTGGATCGCAGCAAAGTTTCTGATAGGAAAGTTTTAAGATTAATGGCTCCTATCGCAGCAGCTCTCCGTCATGATCCCAGTGAATTGCCGCTCTCAAGAAGCACTATTCAACGGGAAAGGAAGGAAGCACGAAAAACTATATTTTAAACTATTAAAGAATCTACCTCTTTTGATAATCCCGTCATTGTACACTGTTATGGAAAAATTCTTCCTGATATTTTGGGAAGTGACAAGGTAGACCGTTTGCCTGTCATAGTATCTTGTCCTGCTGACAATACAGATAAATTGCTTGGTGTACCAAAATTAGTTGGTGGTACTGGTGAAAATGCAGCTAATGCTGTTTACAAAAAGCTTACTGAATGGGGTTTGGGTAAAAAGGTAGTGGGTATGTGTTTTGACACAACATCTGTAAACACAGGGTTGAAAAATGGAGCTTGTGTTCTGATTGAACACCTAGTTGAAGGAGAATTGTTATGGCTAGCATGTAGACACCATGTTTTAGAGATTGTACTCAGTAAAGTATTTACTTTCTGTTTTGGTCCCTCCAGTTCACCTGATATACCTATATTCAAAAGATTCAAAGCAGCATGGCAATATATCAGAGAAGATAGTTATCAGTCTTTGGAAAACATTCCTGGCAGTGAAGATTTCAAACAATCTGCAGTTGATGTTCTCCAAGTTGCCTTAAAAGGCAAAAGTCAGCCTCGGGATGACTATATGGAGTTGATTGAGCTGGCTTTAATTGCTTTAGGCCACACTCCAGCCAAAATTCATTGGAGAGCTCCTGGTGCGGTACACCACGCCCGTTGGATGGCTAAGTTGTTATATGGCATCAAAATCTATTTGTTTCGTGATGACAGTGGTTTCGTGACAACGCAAAGGGAGAAAGCTCAGCTTGAACGCTTTGTGAAATTTGGAGTTCTCGTCTACGTCAAGTACTGGGTAGAAGCTCCTTTAGCTTCAAATGCTCCATGGTCAGATCTCTCACTGTGGAATGATATGACAAAGTACCATGATATTGATCCTGAAGTAACTGAAATTGTCAAAAAGGCTTTCAAATCTCATCTTTGGTATCTTTCGGATGAGTTGGTTGGTTTGAGTCTGTTCTCAAAAAAGTATCTGTTGATGATAAGGTGGAAATCGTTGAAAAAATGAAATGTGAGCCTGCTGAACGGAAAGTGAGAGGCAATTCAGCACTCCTAACTGAGAAAGCGCGTTTGGTTGATTTTGCTTCAAAAAGATCACTGCAGTTACTTGAGAAATTAGAAATCAATACCTATTTTTTACCAAAAAGCCAGATGAATGGACCGATGACCAAGAGTATATCAAAGGTCAAAACATCATCAGAAATCTGAAAGTTGTTAATGACTTGGCTGAAAGAGGAGTAAAGCTGTTTGAAGAGTTTAACAAGCTGTTAACAAATGATGAAGATGAAAAGCAGGTGCTTCTCCAGGTCATAGAAGCTAACAGAAAGATGGTACCTACAAAGACTACAAAACAAGCGATCGTCGATAGTTTGAAAATATCAACAAAGTATTGATCGCCCACAGCAAATTCTTTTCATGAATATCATTGCATTGTTTTATTGTACCTTTATACTGTAAATAAAATACATTTAGTTTACTTACTTTGAGCTGTTTTTTCTTGATTTTTAATTCCCTCAAATATTCCGATTTTCTAAAATTATGCCCAACATAAAATGTCTTTGAGCACTCCTTTCCAAATGGAATATCATCTTGAAATTTTGCATAAATACTATTAATATTATAAGTAAAAAAGTTAGAGGGTGCCCAGGTGTCTAATATAACTTTGAAAAATTAACATTATAATGTGGGCCACCCTACTGTGGGTGTGTGCAACGTTATTTAATGTCTACCCAAAAGAAGAAATTTAAAATTCTGAGAAAAAAAAACAGTCTCTGAATAAAGATCAATCGTCATCCCATGTGTAATATGCGATAAGCTGATGGCAGAAAATATTGAATTCAGACTCAATGCATTTGTTTTCATTATTTATGACATTTTAAATATAATACATTTATTAATTATTATATTTATATTATTTAGAATTAAATTAAGTTCAATATTCCATAATTTATTTAAACAATGTTCTGTATTTTTTATAAATGTCTTATTTTTGTTTACAAATGGTTGTATAATAATCAATAAAAATTTTAACAGTTCACTACAATAGTATAGTCACTAAAGGTTTTCACTTCGATTTCGTTGAACCTTTATCGATTTTCATGAAAATTGGTGAGTAGTTAGAGGATATCTTAAAAAACAATAGTGACATAGTGTCAACTTGCGCTTTTACACTGGGGGTGGATTCCACTCCTTCTTGGAGGTGGAAATTATTTTATTAAAAATAACCCCAGGAATCGATAGAGGGACCAAATCAAAACAAAATTTTTTTAAAACAAAAAAGTTATTAAAATAAATTAATACTTCTTGACTTATTGAAGATCAAAGATTTTGATTCTTCGTAAAAAAATGTATGTTTTAAAGCGAATTTTCATAAATAACTCAAAATCTATAAGTTTTTATAATAAAGTTGTTATTACCAAAATTAAAGATAATAAAAAATTGAATAAATTTTATGCTGACAAACCCTTTTGATATAATTTCAAAGTGAGTTACAGCTAATTAAATGTATTTTTTTTGAGAGTACTCAAATCTGAATATTCAAGCTTAAATATAGGGAAAACAATGAATTTTATAAAATATACCTATTAAACATTTTTCAAAGTACTTAGAAATACCTTTAAAATGAGCTTTAGATGAAGTTGATAGCATCAAAATTAAGCAAATTATTATGAAAATAAGAGGACCTTTTCGATTTTTTTTTAAAGTGAAAAATAAAACATACGCTATTTCCATAAAAATTAAAATTTTTAGTAATCTCTATAAAAATTTCTTTATTTTAGCATAGTAATGACCTTAAAAATTTTGGCCGGTTTAGAATATTTTTGAAAAAAAAAATTTAATTTAAAGTCAGATTTTTTTTTATTTTTCAGAAGACATTCGTCCAGTTGACTGGGGATGGTGCAAAATTGAAGAGTCCAACTAAAAATCACAATCCACCTGCTCCAGAAGAATTGTTAAAAATGAGTTTTTGGAACTGCAAAAAAGCATGCGGCGCTTCTTGCGGGTGTCGAAAAGTAGGGTTATTTTGCAATGCAGTCTGCAGATCATGTAGTGGGGACAATTACCAAAATTGCCCTCCAATTGATGAAAAAGGAGAAATTGGTGAAGAGAGCTCTGATAAAGAGTGAAAAATTAACAATTAAACTATTAATATTTGATACTATTAATAAATACTATTAATAAATACTATTAATATTTGATTAATTTATGAAACATTAGTTAAATAAAAAATGAATGAACTTTTTATATATTTTAATATTTATTTTCATACGTTTTCCTCTTATCTAAAAAATTAAATTTTTATGTCACATAAGCACTGAAAAAATTGTTTAGGAAATGTGGAAAGAATAATATTAATAAGGTTTGTAATCTATTAATAAAGTTTATCATAACCAACAAAAAAGTTTCTGAATGATTAAAGCTATTAAAGCTAATAAAAAACCATTTTCCATTATTTTTATGACAAGCGGTAGTTTTTAAGGGTGCAAAATTACGCAATAAATAAATAAGTACTTTAATACTCAGTAAATGAGATTTTAATTCAGTAATGTATTATTCAAATAATTGAAGTTTCTTGAAATTAATTTTTCCAATGATTCTGCTTTAGGGGGTGGTTTTTAAGGGTTTAAATTTTACAGTCAATTAAAAATGATATCATAAATATTAAAGAAACTATTTTGGTAATATTAATATGCGATTTGATATTTCAGAAATATAAAAAATGATTTTTTCATGATTTTCGATTTAAGGAATAGTTGTTAAAAGGGTTAAAAAAATAATTAAAATCATAAATCATGGATATAAAGGTTGCAAGATATTAATTTTATATAATTAATTTAGATTACTTATGCTTAAATCTACATTTTTTTACCATTTTTAAAAAAAGGGGTGGATTTCACTCCTAAAATGCAAAAAGCGCAAGTTGAGCATATGTCACTGTTGAAGGTGAGGGTAAAATATACTGAATCCCCAATTTTCATGCAAATTGGTGGAGGTTCACCGAAATCGGAGGTAATAGTTGATTTTTACCTTCATTCACTGTACTACATACATCATGGTTCTTCAAATAGGTCTAAGCGCTGTATGCATATTAATGTAATTTTTAATGGCTTTTTTAAAACTTAATAGTATCAAAACCAACTCAGAAACCAAAATTATACAAAAATGAATAGAGAAGAATATGTGAAGAAAACGTAAAAAAATCAGTTTATAAGACAAAGATTAGGTACAAAAATACAAGCAATGGAAATGTATACTGTTTAAAAAAAAATAAAAATAGGTATTTTAACTTGACATTGGAAAAAGATATGAGAATAAGTATAACTTGAAAGTCATATTTGTATAAGCCACAGAGCACAACTATAAAGCGAAAGACACATTTAGTTCTAAAGAAGCGTAATCCTAGAACAGTTTGTTAAAGATTTTACAATATAAGAAGGATTTTTTAATACAACAGACTAAATAGACCAACAAAATTGGTATCTACCAGTATAAGACGTCCAAACTCATCTAAAGTCTATAACTAAGGTCCATAAAATATAACCTAGCATAAATCGGTGCATGTTTATTGCGAGAAGAAAAAACACATTCTAGATTTTAAAATAATAAAAATTAATAAAAATTAATATTGATAACTGCAGTTATTATATTTAATTAAAATTTGAAATATTTTCGGGTAAAAAAAAAGTTTTGTTAAAAAAACCTACCTTAAGATCAGCAAATTCTATAGGTAAAGTGACAGTTAAAGTCTTAGTGCTATGTTGGTAATTAGCTAAAACGTCTTGATATCTTTTAAGTGTGGATATTCCTTGAAGTCTACCATGTGTAAGCTTTATCATTGCCAGTTTAAACTACAAAAATGTTTGGTAATTTCAGACTATTAAAGATTTTTAAAGGTTAAGAAATACACTTACATCTTCAGTTATATTTGCAATATCGATAGGATCAAGTCCATGGGTTAAAGCATACCTTCCAACATTGTAGAAAATTTTTTCTGCATACTCGTTTAGGTTTGCTGTAATTCCAGAATCTTCATAATTTCTACAATTATATAAAAAAAAGTAAATGTAATTGTTATACTAACATGTCATAAAATATCATATAAAGGAAGATAACGAGTAACTTGCTGTAAGGTAAAAATCTTAAGAAACGTTACCTAGAGAACACAATTCTGTATTGAATATAGGAGAACTTGCATTCTTATACCATTGCAGGAGAACCTAAGAAAAGACTCTTAGAGCACCTCTAGTCATAGCATCATATTAAAAATGATAAAACATCATCATCCACTGTAAAAATCTTGTATTACAAATTAGCAAGTAATAACTTTAAAATTATGAACATTATATTGGTATTTAATATTGATTTGTAGGCCTTGTATCTTATATATAAAGTTATTCATCCCATATAAATTAGTGTTTTCTAACGGCGGAATACGAGCATTGGCTTACAGGGCGCTACTAACAGAAGAAATCCTTGCCTGTGCAGAAAAAATTTAGGCAGGTGTTGGGTATAACTGTGACACACTCTTGGTGCTTAGATAACACATATTGTTACCTTTCTTTAAAAAAAAATTAAAATTAATGTTTTACTTACTCAAAATTTTCAGGTTCATATTTTACCAGCTTAGCCAACTTCAACTTTCCATTGGCAGTAAGAAATTCTGTGTCGAATCCATGGGTCAAAGAAATGACCCCCAACAAAAATATCGTAAATACACTTTTGGTATTCATATTGTTAGCAGTATGAATGTTTAATCTATACTTATGAGTAAAAATAATAAATTTTGCTCTACTTAATCACTCGCATGAATCAATAATATTCATGGACGCACTTGAAGATAAAATATGGTAATTTTTAACGATAAATAAAGATTTTTATAAATTAAGTATAAAAATCTTTTGGGAAATATTTTCTTTCTTATACGTACTTTTATATCATGTGCTTTTTCTTCTCTCTTTGCTCAATATATTAGCCTTGTTACTATTATTAGTACATTTTTTTAATTACCCATAAATTTAGAGAAATAAGCACATATTATTTATATTATATATGTATTATGCGATAAAATATTTTGACACACTATTGTAATCTACCTGAACAAAAAGCTCTGCTCTAAGGCCAAATACACACTTTATAGTAGTAAATTTAAAAAGCACTGTTATAGAAGTCTATCTTAACCAAACTGATTTTTAAAGACTTTTTAATTTAAACTGTATTACCAGTTTTAAAACACAAAACCTTCAGAAACTTTATGTTCATTAATAGCCCTAGAAGGACCAAGGTTGTGTTAAAAAGTATCCATAACATTTTTATTCGATTTTCTAAATACGTATATTCTAAAAAATCTCAAATAATTAGTAGTTGTCGGTGTACTACTACTCTATTAGATGCCATAATTAGCATTTGTATTATTTAATTCATTTTCTCTTACTTTTATAAAAACTTTACGGTGGACTATTATAAATAACCCCCTTGGTTCATTATGGATCTGACAGTTTTTTCTTACTTAATGTATATGTGATAAGAAAACTGAAAATAAATAAATATTTAACGCAGAAAGAATTAAAAGAAGTTCCATCAGATGTTAGTTCCGGCAACAGCTACTCAGATGTGAGTGAAAACTAAGACCATATTGAAGTGTTCAAAGACGACTTCAATTGATGAAAACTGTGACATGTCACATGTATATAAATCAACGTCAGGAAGAACCGTCTTAGCCCACTCACCACGATTTATTTGGCCAGCCATACCAAAAACTTTTCGTGAGCAACCAGGACACAAAGACCAAGTAAAAAATAAATTGCAGTTGTTCCAAAAATTCTTTACTCCGGAAATACTGCAAAATCTTGTACGGCATACCAATGAAGGAGCTGAGCGTACAACCGTGCCAAAAACAGATGATACCCAGATTCTAGCATTACTTAGTACTTTCATTTTGATGGGAGCTAATGATGACACCAAATTGAATTATCATGATTTGTGGTCTAAACAATTTGGCAGGTCATCGTATATTGCCCCAATTAGTCGAAACAGATTCCGAGAAGTAACAAAAATTTTAATATTTATCAATAAAATTGCCCGAACTGAGAGGAAACAGGCAGACAAGTTTTCATCCTTACGTCAAACCTTTGATTAGCTAAACGATACATTTTTGGGATATTTTGCACCAGGTATGAACGTTGCAATAGACGAAATATTATCTTTATTTAGAAGCAGACTCCAGTTCAAAGTTTTCGTGAAGGAAAAGCCTGGTAAATAAGATGTTTTTATACGAATACTTGCAGATCATTTAACTCGTTACGTTTTGTATATGGAGGCTTGCAGGAACGTATAGACGGGCAGATATTACACTTATGTGGAGCTTGCAGAAAATCTCCACAAAGACTTTGGTCTGACTTTAGTTGGTAGTCTCTAACAAAATCTCAGGCATATACCAAAAGTACCTACTTAAGAAAACAGAAGAAACGCAATTGTATTCAAATATGGTATTATTTTCCAATCCAAAGTCTGAAAACCCATCAGTTACTTTTCTTTCTTAAGTAACATATCAGAAGCCTACAAAGATACTTCTATGTCAATCAACTCAGCATTCTGATGATGTAAGCGGCGAATACAAAAATAAATGAGATATCAATATTTTTTATAATAATTAAATCTCAGCGATCGACGCGAAGATGACCACTCTCAGTTTTTTTCACTAAACTAAACTAAACTCTTAATACTAAAAAAGTATTTTATTTATATTTAAGAGTTATTACGAATAATTGGTTATAAATAACAAATTAATACTGTTTATATGGAGGGACCGCAGACGTTCGGATACAATTAGCGTCTCTTAGCAAAGACAATGACGTCGACTTTGCTAAGTATCAAGACAATTACTCTACACACACAAACACACACTACACTAGGTACCTGACTGTACCATGCCAATGATCATAGTTGTCGAGGCATTAACCCAATAAAAAAAAAGCGAGTTAAGAAATGGTTTGTACATCCCGTGGCTATTAGCTGCTTTGTTTTAGATAATTTTGATGCAAAAATACGATAAATGTTAGTCTTTTAACCGTTTACCTACAGTATCATCATTATCATCATCATTTAGCCTCAGGAGTCCACTGCTGAACATAGGTCTCTTCCTTATGTTTCCAACCCCGTCTATCTTGCGCCGCTCTTTTCCAGTTTTTATTATTATATTAAGTCTTCTTAAATCGTCAGTCCATCTTGTAGGTGGTCGACCGACGCTTCTCTTGTCTTTCCTTGGCCTCCATTCCAATAACCTCTTTGTCCATCGCCCATCTATCATTCTGGCTATGTGTCCAGCCCATCTCCATTTTAGTCTGGCTATCTTCTCGATGATATCAGTCACTCCGGTTCTTCTCTATTTACCTACAGTAACTGGCCAAATTATTAGGCCAAGCATAAAAATTAGCATTTTTTTAAATTAATAATTTTTATCAACATCAATGTTATTATGTATTCGAATAGCAACATTTAATATAGTATGGAAACATTATTGTACTATTTTAACGTTTTATCGTAACACCACCCTATCCGCCATTTCTAAACAACATTGCGACCTGTCAACTAGTGTGCATTTTATAACCTCAAACTTGTGCGAACTTTGAACTCTAAACGGTTTTGACCTGAAATTTTATTGGAGAGGTGAGTGATTTATCCTTTTTTATTATTATTATTTAGATTATAAACAGATGCAGCGAAGTTATTTGTATAATTAAGGGTATTATACATTTTTAGATGAGGAAAAACGCTGATCTATCACCAAAACGAGTAGAACAGGTATCTGTACTCCTCAAAGCTGGGCAATATCTCAAAATGAAATAGTAGCAAGGAGTATCAAGAAGTTTTGTAAGGAATATAAAGCAGAAAATTGCGTCTGGAGTCAGTTTGGATCCAAAATATAAGGCTCACAACTGAAGACGTCGTGTGACTACCCCAAGGACTGATCGCAAAATAAGAGATATTTGCCTAGAAAACAGAAAACAGAAAGAAAGGAGATAAGAAATAAAGGAATTTGTGTTTCAGAAAGAACAGTTCGTCAGAGATTTGTCGAAAACAAACTGGTAGTTAGGACACCAGCTCGAAAGCCAACGCTTACTCCGGCTATGATAAAGAAACAATTCGAATGGGCACAAAAATACAAAAACTGAAAAGTGGAAGACTGGAAAAAGGTATATATTAATGGCTTGAATATCAATATTAAAAACCAAAAAAAACATGAGCATTTCAAAAATTTTGTTGATTTAAGGTCTGCTTCTCGGACGAATCCGTTTTTCAAGTTTTAACAGAAAAAATGAAATTTGTTCGGAGACGTCCCAACGAGAAATAGAAACCCGACTGCATTGTACCGTCACTCATGGTCTAGTCTGTGGTATTCGGCAAAGGAACAGGCCGTCTCTATGTAGTGGAAAACACAATGAGACAAGACCAGTACCGGAAAGTACTCGAGACGAGACTTTTCTCACAGCTGCAGGAATGGTTTCCTGGAGAAGATGAACCCATATTTATGTACGATCGTGATCCTTGCCACAAGACTACGACTATTTTAAATTATTTAAAAGAAAAAAATTTAAAGTTTTTGACTGGCCAGGCAACTCACCTGATATAAACGCTATTGAGAGTGGGTGGAAACTACTGAACATTATCAATAAAAGTGAGTTACTTGAAATGCTCTTATAAGTGGAATCATAATCCTCACCTCCAGGAAACTATTCAAGTGCCTCGACGTGTTTCAGCCTCTTTTAGCAGCCAAAGGCGGACATACAAAATATTAAATTTATCCCTACTTTGTAAAAATTATACTTTTTTAATAAATAAAGGTTTTTTGTTAAATTTTTTAGTACAGTTTAATCACCTTAGAGTTAATATTCACACAAAAGAACAAAACAGTAATTTTTTTTAATATATTCATAATTATGAGAGAAACCACTTCATATAGTAAATTTTTCATTGCTTGGCCTAATAATTTGGCCAGGTACTGTAGTTTAAAAACAGAAGGAGCAAATTTAGTCCAGTCGAACTCGGCATATGTCATTTTTTCCAAGCGCTGTATCTTGAAACTGTGTTGGATTTTTTGAAAAGTTGGAACGAAACTCTTTTTTACAACACTCAAAAAAAAATCAGAAATGGATTAGGTTACAAGAAATGTTTAATATTCATTTAAAATTTACACTTTTATTAATTATTTTTTATAACAATGAAAATAATAAATTAAATACACAAATATTTTACTACATACAATAAATGCTGAATTTTTTAAAGATTGCCTTATGGTTATACCTTATAATCCAAAATATACTGAGAATATTGTGAACTGATCTGATTAATAGTTGAATTGGTAGGATGTGTTATATTGTACAGTAATTCATTAATGTCCTTTACCACTTGGGTAGCGGCATTTTTGATAATTACTTCAATAATTCCTTGAATTAACGGATGTAAAATTGTTGTAACGAATTCAGAAATTAAGTTAAAAATAAAATCTCCTGGATTGCCACTTGCGGTAACGGATATTTGCCTAAAAAAAGAAAAGAAACATTTAAAATATGGACCCTCAGACAAAAATATTGCATATTTTTGTTATTTTTTTATTTATGTGTGATTTATGTTACAAAATAATATTTAATGGGGTTTTTATTATTTTATTTAATTTTATAGAAAGGGGTGACGATGTTAGACCAAGAAAGAAACAAAAGTTGTAAACAAAGCAGGTTCTTCTAATTTAATCGATGATTTAGTAATTGATAAGATGTCTTATTGATGAAAGGATGACAGGATAACAACACTAAAGTTGAACTGGGCAGGTCATGTAGCAAGATCAGTTGATGACCGGTGGAGAAAGACAATTTTGGAATGGAGACCCCGAATACAAGGTAACAGAAATAGAGGTCGACCCCCAACGAGATGGACAGATGACATAAAAAGAGTGATTACAAATTGGATTCAGATGGCGCAAAATCGGACTAAGTGGAAGAGCATGCGAGGGGCCTATGTTCAGCAGTGGACGTTAGAGGCTAGTTGCTGATGATGATGATGAAGAAGATGTCTTATTGGAAATTTTAAATTTTGTATTGATTTGTTAATTATTTAGAACCCAGAGAAACTGAAGGAATCGTGACCATACGGAAGAACGACATAAATTTGAATGTACTTTAGTCCAGGATTCAACATTGACAAAGAGCAACTACGTAGTCATGAACCAATTGATTTTTACTTAGTATTTATTGATAATGAAATTCAAGATTTGTTAATAACAGAAACAAATAGATATGCTCAACAGAAAGTAGTTGAGGGGATTGTAAATGAAACCATCAAAAATTATTCGCTTATGTGCAAATGGCAAGACACAGATAAAGATAAATTACTTCGATTTTTAGCAATTGTAATGTGGATGGGGATTATCCGTGTCTACTAATTATCGTCATATCTGGCTATGTGTCCGGCCCACCGCCATTTAATTGTTTTAAATTTTTTTCACGAAATCCCTGGTTTTCGTTCTACGTCTTATCCCCGTGTTTCGAATCATGCCTTCCCGTGATATTCCAAGTACGGTTCCTTCCATTGTCCTTTACATTGTGTTTAGTTTCGTAGCAGAAACTACAAACTGGTAGTAACAAATAATGTTGTACACCTTTTTCTTTAAGTTTATAGAAATGGTCTTTTCAAGGTATATAAAAGTTTTACTAGTTTACCGAAAGCACCCCATGTCAATAGTGTTCCTCTTTTAATTTCAGCTACTACTTATTGATTTAGTTTTCCCATTGTAATATCATGGCACAGATATACATAGCGTTCAACGTGTTCTATAGAACAGTTTTATATTGTTATATTTGTCTGGTCCTGGCTCATTATTTTTGTTTTAGAGTAATTAATTGTTAAGCTTACCGCTCCGGAAACTTCATTTATTTGTTGTAACATTTCATTTAGTTCTTGGATTTTATCTGTTTTCAAAACTATGTTGTCTGCAAATCTCAAATGGTTTAAGTATGATCTGTCGATGTTAATACCCATGTTATTTAATTCTAATAATTTCTTATTGGAGTTGTTTTATTCTAAAATCTTCTAGCGCAAGGGTGAATAGTTTGGGAGAAATGGTGTCTTCTTGTTTCACTCCCCGTAGTAGATTTCTGAGATTCATTTTTGTTCTTTCGTAAAGCTTTTCGATGAAATCGAGTGCTTTTTGAAAACAAACCCACAAACACCATATAAATTGGAATGTTATATCGGTACATTTTTCTATTAGACTTTTTACGATGTGCAAGTAGGCTATGGTACTAAAGTGTTTTCTGAATCAATTCTGACGGATATGTTGGTAGAAGTCAAGCTTATTTGTTACGCAGTTGGTTATGATTTGTGTTAGCAATGTATAAAGATGTGGTAGCAAGGATAATGAGCTGTAATTCTCGATGTTCGCTTTGTCTCCCTTCTTGAATAGTATATATAATAACTTCGAAATTGTACCATTCTTAAAGAAACTTTTTTTTCATCAATTATTTTATTATACAGAGTGACCCAAAAGTCTGGAAACGGCCAATTATCTCGTAAATCGCTAGTTATAATTGTACAAAATTTAAGGTACACTTATTTTGGGATACGGAGATTCCATATTTGATATTTGCAATGTTGCCAGATTTGCTGTTTCTCTGATATTATTAGTAACTTTGGTTTTTCAAATGCATGACCCTGTATATTCAGTCATTATTAGAATCTCCTATTCAATACGAATTCAACTGTATATAACACTTTTGATTTTTTATAGTCTGGAAGGTCTTAAATACATAAAACAGAAGTGAGCCAACGCCTAATTGTTTCAATAAATTTTTTGATACTAATTATTTTCAACTACATTAAAACGTAACAATTAATAGATTCGACCATTTTTTAGCAATAGTCACGTTATTAAGTGTTCAAAATTTGCTCAATTTGTGAGTTGACAGTACCCTAATCGATGGTAGAATGCGTCTACCACATTTCTCCATGATTGTCTAGAAATTATTTGAGATTAATCGATAATTCGTTGCCTTTGCTCAGCAAGACTTGGCTGGTTAAGTTTTGTAAACTAAATTTTTCAAGTATCCCTAATAAAAATAATCTTTAGGATTGAAATCGGGTGAATGTGGAGGCCATTCACTTCTACCTTGTCTACCAATTTATTGTACGGAAAATATCTCATCTAAATAACGCCGAACATTTACACCAACTATCTGACGTTAAATTTCGTTCCAAAAAAATGACCCAATTGACTAAGTACCTACTATACCTGATCATACATTTAATTTTTGTGGTCCGGTATGGTTTTCACGCTTTCAGTGTTAATTTCATACGAGTTCAACTATTCAATACGAGTTCAAAAATGTGTAACACTTATGATTGTATGTAGTCTGGAAGGTCTTAAGTGCATAAAACAGTGCAAAATATGTAGATTTTAATAAATTTAAATATTTAAATGTAGAATGCTGTGATATTGACATTTGTTCACGATTTACATTATAAACTAAAACTGACAGTAGTTGTGTTTCGAAAAGGTCTGCAATTTAAATTGCTTCTCTAAATTGCCGTTCTCTAAACCTTTCTCCTATTCATAAGGAGATGGTACAAAAAACTGTAAAGCGATTTGAGAGATCTGAAGAAGGTAAAGCTAGATGGAAAGAGAAAAGTTTTGTTGAAGATCCACATACGTCCTCAGGCAGGGTTGCACAAGTACATGATGTAGTGTAGGTCGTTCTTCAGTCTTGCGTATATTACGTAAAAATAAGTTTAAACCATACAAAATAAACTTATTGCAAGAATTAAGTGAAGATGACTTCGATCTTAAATTAGAGTTTACTGAGGTAATGAAGGATAAAATTAAAAATTATTAAAATTTCGTCAACAGAATATGTTTTCCGATGAAACAATCTTTACACTGTGTGGAAGTGTAAATCGACACAATTTAAGGTACTTTAATGACGCAAATTCACACTGAATGCGTGAAAACCATACTCAAAGATCACAAAAATTAAATGTATCGTCAGCTATAGTAGATACTCAGTCAATTGGGCCATTTTTTATCGAAACAAATTTAACGTCAGATAGTTGGTGTAAATGTTCGGCATTATTTAGATGAGATATTTCCCGGACGATAAATTGGTAGACAAGGTAGAATTGAATGACCTTCACGTTCACCCGATTTCAATCATAAAGATTATTTTTATTAGGATACTTGAAAAATTCAGTTTTTCATACAAAACTTAACCAGCCACTCTTGCAGAGCTAAGGCAACGAATTATCGATGAATCTCGAATTGTTTCTAGACCATCATGGAGAAATGTGATAGACGCATTCTACCATCGATTAGGGTACTGTCAACTCATAAATTGAGCACATTTTGAACATCTAATAACGTAACTATTGTTAAACAATGTTCTACTCTATCAATTGTTACGTTTTAATGTAGTTGAAAATAATTAATATTAAAAAAATTATTGAAACAATTAGGCGTTGCCAGACTTGTGTTTTATGTATTTAAGACCTTTAAGACTACATAAAATCATAAGTATTACATATGGTTAAACTCGTATTGAATAGGAGATTCCAATAATGACTAAATATACAGGGTGATGCATTTAAAACACCAAAGTTACTAATAATATAAAAGAAACGGAAAATTTGGCAACATTGCAAATATCAAATATGGAATCTCCGTATCCCAAAATAGGTGTACCTCAAATTTTGTACAATTATAACTAGAAATTTACGCGATAATTGGCCGTTTCCAGACTTTTGAGCCACTCTGTATAAAATATATTTATTACCTGTTCCATTTTTCTGCCACCAATTAGCAACATTTCAACCATAAAATTTATTTGTTTTTAGTTGATTTAGGTCCATTCGTATTTCAGGGTCGGTGTAATTTATAGTTTTTTCAGTATTTTGTTGTTATGGTTGTGTTTATGTTGAAAAAGTATAGTTTAGTGTAGAATTATTTTTCTATGACCTGGCTTATTTCGTTTCTAAAATCCACAAGGAAAACAATTCCTGTAGCTGGCTGTATACCACGTATCACAAAAAAGAGGTTAGTCTTCGTAAATGGATATATTTATTTTAAAAAAAACCCTTAAAAGGGCTACATCAAAAAAACAAACGTTTTCGGACTAAACAGTCCATCATCAGGTTTAAAATTGCTAGGTTAAAATTCCTGAGCTACCAAAATACCAAGGTAAAAACCCTTTAAATTACATCTAGTTATTAAAGATTGTACATATTGTTGTTATTAAAATGTGATGTTAAATATTAAATTGAATTTGTCTTCAGGTAACATGCTAGAAGTGAGTTCCAGTGTCCGGCTGGTAACTTACAGTTAAAAAAACGTTTGTTTTTTTATGTATCCCTTTTAAGGGTTTTTTAAATAAATATACCCATTTACGAAGACTATCCTCTTTTTTTATTTCATTTCTGTCCCGGGCGGTGACGTTTTTCTCGATTTTTATTTCAATTATTTTTCTTACGCCTTGAATTTTTTTCTTTCAGCAATTTGAT